TTTGGCTGTGTGTGGCTGGGTGGTGATGCTCCAATATGGTCTGTAGCTGTCCACTCAGTGCAAAGGCTATGGGGGTTCCCAGGCAGTACAGGCCAGGGTCAGCCACTCCCTGTGTTCTACCCGGAGCCTCCCAGTGTGAGATACAAAGCAATCAGCAGATGGCTTTTACCTGTGCTCAGCTTGGAGGTTCCCAGACAGAGCCAAACTGTGATCCAAAGCTGGCTGCTGCTAGTGCCAGGGCAGGGACCACTTAGCTAGAAGTATGAGGCTGGGGGTAGCCTGTAAGTTGGGTGGGGTGGAGCCTCAGGTAAACGCCAGGGTGGGGCAAACAGTGTAAGCCAAGTTGATGGCGTCTCAGGTGTGGCAACCCCTGCCTGTTCTGTGGCTCTGTGGCTCAAAAAAGGCACCATGGCTTCTGCCCTCGTTTCTGTGTGGGAGAGAGCTGTCCCCCAACTCTTACCCTTATGTTCCTCCCCATATGCCACTGATGCCTTTCAAGCTGCTCCCCTGGTGGTCCTGGAGCTCAGAGGGAGTGTTTGTGAGTAAGTTCAGCATGGGCTGTTTTGAAGGAATTGCCAGGGAGTCCAGTAGTTTGTTTGTTGTTGTTGTTTACCAACTCTAATCCTGCTGGTTTTTACAGCCAGAAGTTATGAGGTCTTATCTTCTTGACAGTGGCACCCTGAGCTAGAGTGCCTAATGTGGGGTTGGGACCACTCACTCCTGAGATATCCCTTGCAAATTTTTATCCACAGTTTTTGTTTGTGGGACTCGCCTGCCCATTCTGCATCTCCACGTCCCCTACCAGCCTGGACTGATGTGGTTTCTTTAGCTCCATGGTTGTCAGATTTCCATTCAACTCGATTTCTGATGGTTCTGAGTGATCTTCAGTCTGTAGTTTAGTTGTATTTTGATGTGGTTGTGCAAGGAGGCAAGCCATGTTTACCTATGCCTCCACCTTGACCCTAAACCAAGTCCAAAAATAATACTCTTAATGTATATAACCTACTGATTCTATTTCTCTGAAGAATCCTGGCTGATACATGCATCTTTTAGCTATTGTTCTTATCAACACCAGAATTTCCATTTGATTCTTGTTTGAAATGCCTGCCTAATTGAGATTCTTTATTCATTGAATCATTGTATCATTATTTATTGAATGATTTTAATTCTTTATACAAGGTTTCCTTTAGTTCTTTGAATATATTTATAATGGCTTCTTTGAAGTCTTTGCTAAGTCAGATATATGGGAACAATCAGATACAATTTCAGTTGATGAGTGTGGGTCATGTTTTTTGTTTATTAGCATGTCTTGTAATTTTTGTTGAAATCTAGACAGTTTAGAAAATACATTGTAGGATGTCTGGATTCTGATCCCCCCACCCCCAATGTTGTTGTTCTTCGTTATTTGTTTGTGGTATAGTTACTTTTCGAATCTAAATCCTTAAATTCTGCCCCCTATGCGGGATGTGACCACTGGAATCTGTATTCAGTTTATTTTCTTGTTTTTGAGCTTGAATTTCTAGGGCTCTTTGTGTCTATATGGCTTAGTGTTCAACCAAAGATTAATTAAATATTGTGTCCAAACACCTCAAAACAGTGGGACCTGAATTCTCCACTGAGGGATCAGTGTGTGTACTGGGGAGTACATTCAAATATTGAGTCCTTTTCGTATCTTTCCTGGCTGCCTCTTGAGCCTTCTCACTTCTTCACTGTGCATACGCTCTAGGCTCCATTGGCTCAGGATGTTTGATGACTTGGGCCTGCTCCAGCCTTCGATGCAGATACAGCCTTTGGTCCCCTTTGGATATGTGGAGAACTTATTAAGCCCTTTATGGCTGTCGCCTCCAGAAAGTTTCTTATAAATTCTTCCCTACACTAGCAACCAAGATGGAGGCATAGGTATATACACTTTGCCTTCTCGCACAACCAAAACAAGGATAACAACAAATTTAAAGACAAAAAAAAAAACACAACTTCTAGAAAATCAAACTGTATGGAAGTCCAGGCGGTGGGAGAAACTCCCAGCCTCACAGGAGAGTTTGTTGGAGAGACCCACAGGGTCCTAGAATGTATACAAAACCACCCACCCAGGAATTAGCACCAGAAGGGCCCAATTTGCTTGTGGGTAGCAGCAGAAGTGACTGAAAGCCAGCAGAGAGCCGAGCAAGCAGCATTGTTCCCTCGAACCTTTCCCCCATATATAGCACCACAATGCAGCTATGTGGGTTGCCCTGCCCTGGCGAATAACTAAGGCTCCACCCCTTATAACATAACAAGTGCCCTGAGACAAAAAATATGGCCCAAATGAAAGAACAGATCAAAGCTCCAAAAATAGAACTAAGCGATGAAGAGGTAGCCAACCTATCAGATGCAGAGTTCAAAGCACTAGTAATCAGGATGATGGAATATGGTTGCAAAACAGGAAAAAGTGAAGGCTATGTAAAGTGAAATAAATAAAAATATACAGGGAACCAACAGTGAAAGGGAGAAAACTGGGACTCAAATCAACCATTTGGAACAGAAGGAAGAAAGAAACATTCAACTAGAACAGAATGAAGAAACAAGAATTCAAAAAAATGAGGAGAGACTTAGGAACCTCCAGGACAAAGCAGGGAAGGGGGGAATGAGGGAAAGGGTACAGGGAATAAGAAGTATAAATGGTAGATACAAAATAGAAAGGGGAGTTTAAGAATAGTACAGGAAATGGGGAAGCCAAAGAACTTATATGTATGACTCATGGACATGAACTAAGGGGGATGGGGGGTTGGATACTGGTGGGAAGGGGGCTGCTGAGTGTGTGGGGAATAAAGAGGAGAAAAAACGGGACAACTGTAATAGCATAATCAATAAAATCTATTTAAACAAACAAACAAACAAACAAATTCTTCCCTACTCTCCCAATCTACTGCTTGCCCCAAACAGGCCCACAATATCAAGGAACCAGAGACACCTGTCACCTATACTCTCTTCCACCAAGGTCACTAGTTTACATCATAATGCTCCAGATCAAGTGAGCCTCCTCTGACAGCAGCAGCGACCCTTGGTTTTCAGGCCCTGCCCCAACCAAGTTGAACCTGTGTCAAAAGAATGAATGTGGGGGCATGAGAGTTGTCCCAGGCGAGAACAACAAAATATCTACTGTTCTTATCTGAAATTCAGTGGTTGCCATGAACAAACACTTCTCAGTTTATATTATGCCTTTAATACGATTTCTAGAGTGCCAAATGGTTATTTTTGATACTTTGGTCCAGCTTTATAGTTGTTTTTTAGGGGAAAGGATTGTCAGTCTCCTTTCTCCATCAGCTGAAGTAAATATCTACCTTTTAATTTCTATCTCCAAAGTAATATGCTGAGAATTCCTTCCAGAGTCTGAATTATACTATCTGAAGTCTGAAGTACTATACAGAGTCTGTATACTATACAGAGTCTGAAGTAATTATACTATCTAGTGTCCAAGGCTGGATGTTTCAGGATGCCAAGAATAACAGTTTTCTTTTGGGACCTCTAAAGAATAAGTGAAAAACATGTAAATGAGAAAGATGCTTCTTAACTTATAGAGCACTGGGGCAAACTTTATTTTGTGTATAATATTATATATACAACAAAATTTATTTAATTTAAAAATCCAAACACTGGCATTACTCAGGAAAACTTAACAGGTTTATTTATAATTATTATAAAGTTGACCTGATGAAACTTGTTGATGAAACATTTGGACTTGCTTTGTGTCCCTGCATTTATATATATATATTTTGGGGGGGCAGGGTTTTTTTTTAAGATTTTATTTATTTATCTTTAGAGAGGGAAGGGAGGGAGTTAGAGAGAGAGAGAGAAACATCAATGTGCGGTTGCTGGGGGTCATGGCCTGCAACCCAGGCATGTACCCTGACTGGGAATCGAACCTGCAACACTTTGGTTTGTAGCCCGCGCTCAATCCACTGAGATACGCCAGCCAGGGCTTCCTGCATTTATATTTTTAAAAAATTTACACACAAATGAAAATAGAAAAATCGCCAATACCTGATTTCTGCCCCCTGTTTTCCACCTACAATATATGCTTAGATACCTTTTGACCCCGTGGGACAAAACAATCTAATGTTCAGAACTAGCAATTAATAGGAAGAAGAGATTTCTTTTTAAATAATGAAATATTGCCCATCTTAGTGGATTGTTAAGCATGCTCCCCACATATGCAGTGCACTGGCTGGATGTCTTCTGGCATAATTGTTACGTGTTCAGCCTGGGTAGCACACAAGTTGGCGTGTGCAAAAAAGCCAACCGAACTGGTCTCACGTGCCTCCTGCAGAGCAGCAGCAGCTGCTCTCTGCTAGCACAGATCTCTTTTGAAATCCTGAGCAACTTCTTGCACCAGACTCTGGAAGGGAAGTTTGCGAATCATAAGTTCACTGGACTTCTGGTAACGCCTGATTTCACAGAGTGCCCCAGCACCAGGCCCCAGACGGAGGTGAGGTTTCTTCACCCCTCCAGCAGAGGGCCCACTCTCGTGAGCGGCTTTGGCAGCCAGTTGCTTCGCCTGTGCTTGAGCACCGGTCAGTCTGCTGTCTGCTTTGTAGAGAGGTGACTTTCAACCTTTTTCATGTCATGACACACATTAACTACTAAAATGCGATGGCACACCAAAAACGTTTTTTTGCCGATCTGACAAAAAAATAAATATAATTTTGATTTATTCACACTGGATGGCTGTTGTGTTGGCTGTTGTCAATTTTTTAACAAATAGAAGAGAGATCAGTGTTCCTAACTAAATAGTCAGGTATTGCATGTTTTAAAATTCTTGAAAATCACTGGTATGGTAGACCTCTGTACCTTCCCCCTTACTCCTTCAGGTAGAGCTCTGCAGGCCAGAGGTGGTGCTCTCATTGGAGAACAATGACCTATTGCATTATATTTTAAGATTTATTTTTATAAAGTATATCTCCTGTATTTTGTAGCTATTTCAACTTTATAACTGATTTGGTGTATTTTTTTTTAAATTTCAGATTTTTGTTAAGTTCCCTATGTCTTCCCCTGAAATTGCTTCCCTTTCATGGGGGCAAATGAAAGTTCAAGGCTCTACTAAAACCTATAAGGACTGCAAAGTGTGGCCAGGGGGAAGTCGGGCTTGGGATTGGAGAGAAACTGGAACTGAGGTAAGCTCTTAATGTTTGGTTGATGCTGAATAAGGCTAAGTGATTTCCAACCTCCTAAACTATAATGACCAAGTGAAAAGCACCTCTCTCCCTCTCTCTCCCCCTTTTCCCCTCCCTCCCTCCATCTCCTTGAGCTAAAATTCAAGCATGCAATCAATGGAGATTTTACTCTCATAAACTTGTGCAATAGTTACCATTATTAATTCGAGAATATACTATCAGCCCAAAAGAAACCCCATAACCATTAGCAGTCACTGCCTATTCTTTCTCTTTCACAAGCCCTGGCAACTATTAATCTACTTTTTGTTGCTATAGATGTCTACTCTAGACGTGCCATGTAAACAGAATTATTCAATTCTCTTAGGTATATACCTACCACTGGAAATGCTGGGTCATATGGTAACTCTATGTTTAACTCTTCGAAGTACTACCAAATTGTTTTCCACAGCAGCTGCACCATTTTAAATTTTAGATTTTATAACTGTATGATGTTTTCATTTTTCTAAGTCTCTCCACACCAACATTTATTATACTTTGTTTTGTTTTTATTATACCCTTTAGTGGGTGTGAAATGTTATCTCTGTGGTTTGAACTTGCATTTCCCTTGTATTGCACTTCCTCTAATATTCTCAGTGTGCAATGCCCAAGGCAGAGTATCTCTGTTTCCTAAGTAGAGGGTGGGTGAAATAAGGGAGCCCCTACCTCTCAACCACACTCACTTGGGACTTAGCCCCACAACAGACATCTGGGAGTACAATGTGATACAATAATGTCCTGCTCCTCCCAGGAACAAACATTTTCAGCTGGGAGATGAGAGGAAAACCAGCCCTATGTTCTTGTGGGGGAGCTTTGTCTGCAGAGCACCCCCCCCCCGTCCGCCAGAGATGAGAATAAGTCGACCAAGACATAATCTGCTTGGGGAGGAAAGGTAGCCGATTTCTCACAGGAGAAGGACCAAGAGCCTTTTCCTCAATGGTTTTTATTGGGTTCGTTCACACAGGAATTCAGGTAAAGCTCATTAATCATTACTAGGAAGTAAGGATCAAATAACAAGGAACTCTGAGGGCCTATTTTGAGTCAGGGTCAGATAGCTAAAGAGCTATAAAGAACTTTAAGGAACAAACTTACTTCTTCCTTGGACCCTTATCATTTAATTGAGAGCATTCTGAACAAAGCAGGTTTCACAGGATTTTACATATTCTTTCTTAGGACTGATTGCCCAGGGAACCCGCCCTTTCCAGCACAGGGCTGCACCACCCTCTGTCATTGTTTCAGGCTTAGGTGGAGCAAGGGAAGTAAGGCAGCCAAAAGATTAGATTTTCCCGCAGACAATGAGGACTCAGGCTATGTCAAAGCCGAGGGGCGAGGGTCCATCACCCCCTTTTGCTGTAGCCCCCAAAGTCCTTCCTTGGGAGCTTCCCACGTGATTGTGCCTGTCTTAGATCGTTCACCCCTTGGGAAATCTTACCTGTCATTGGCTAACCGACCAAGCATTGGGGGCCAGGCAGGCTGAAATAAAAGGAGCAGAAGCAGTGCTCCTGCCAGGGAGATAAGCTTTTGTCTCCTTGGTGGCTTATGGTCCAAGGTCATTCCCTCAGACTTAGTCTTGGCAGGGGTTACAGCTTCTGAAACCAGGCAGGGCGGTTCCCAAAATGTTCTTGGCTGTAGCACGCTGGAGTGGAGTCTCCACCTCACTGATCTGGGAGTGTGGGGAGGCAGGCAGCAGTCTTTCTTTAAATACAACAATTTCTCCCCTGTCCTATGAAATATTTATAGATATTCTTTAATAAATGTTTCCTCATTTGCTGTCTGCTCTTCGGAGCATTTCCAAAGGCTGTGAATGATTTTCTTTTTTTTTCTGTTTTTTGTTGGTGGTGGTTGGTTGATTGTTGTTGTTTCTTTTACTAATTACCACTTAAGATCAGGAGCTCTTCATGTCGTAATAATGGAAGTTCCTCTTTCAGTTTTGTAAAGATAGTTTTGCTGGATGTAGAATTCTTTTTTGTTGTTGTTGTTGTTGTTGTTTTAAAGATTTTATTTATTTATTTTTAGAGAGGGAAGAGAGGGAGATAGAGAGAGAGAGAGAAACATCAATGTGCGGTTGCTGGGGGTTATGGCCTGCAACCCAGGCATGTACCCTGGCTGGGAATCGAACCTGGGACACTTTGGTTTGTAGCCCGCGCTCAATCCACTGAGCTATGCCAGCCAGGGCTGGATGTAGAATTCTTGATAGACCATCTTTTACTTTCAGCATGTTGAATGTGTCAGCCTACTGTCTTTGGCCTCATTGGTTACTAATTAGAAATCAACTGTCAGTCTTATGTATTTTTAGTCCTTTTAAAAATTTTTTTAAAGTATATTTTATTGATTATGCTATTACAGTTGTCCCAATTTTTTCTCCCCTTTATCCCCCTCCTCCCTGCACTGCCCCCACTCCCACCAGCATTTCTCTCCATTAGTTCATGTCCATGAGCCATACATATAAGTTCTATGGCTTCTCCATTTCCTATACTATTCTTAGTCTCCCCCTTATTATTTTGGACCCATTCTGCTTCTTATTCCCTGTACCTTTGCCCCCATTCTCCCCGACCCTGCCCTCATTGATAACCCTCCATGTGATCTCCAATTCTGTGACTTTGTTACTGTTCTAGCTGTTTGCTTAGTTTTTGTTTTTGTTTTTTAGGTTCAGTTGTTGATGGTTGTGGGGTTATTGTCATTTTACTGTTCATAGTTTTTGATCTTTTTTTTCTTAGATAAGTCCTTTTAACATTTCATATAATAAGGGCTTGGTGGTGGTGAACTCCTCTAACTTGACCTTATCTGGTAAGCACTTTATCTGCCCTTCTACTCTAAATGAGAACTTTGCTGGGTAGAGTAATCTTGGATACAGGTCCTTGCCTTTCATGACTTCAAAGAATTCTTTCCAGGCCCTCTTGCCTGTAAGGGTTTTTGTTGTTGTTGTTGTTGTTTTTGTTGTTGTTGTTATCAGCCTATCAGCTGATAGGCTTATGGGAACTCCTTTGCAGGTAACTCTCTCCTTTCCTCTTGCTGCTTTTAAGATTCTCTCTTTATCTTTAATCTTGGGTAACTTAATTATGATGTGCATTAGTGTGTGCCCCTCCTTGGGTCCAATTTCTTTGGGACTCTCTTGGTTTCCTGGACTTAAAACAGACCACCTGTGTTATAATGAGCATGTATTTATCTGTTTTCCACACTAAGTGGTGAACTTCCTAAGGTGAGAACTATGCATTTAGCCTAGAGCCTATAAAGTAGAAGTTCAATACACTTTTGCTGCATGGAATTTGTCATTATAAACATCATTAAATTCACTTCAAAAGAATCTTTTGTGGCATTGCCTCTGAGGTAGGTTAATGTTGTGATTCTTTTTTTATTAGTTTAAAAGGGGGAGGGTGAGGTCTCATAGTGATTACAAAATGCAAATATCAAGAAAATGTATTGTCTTCAACTCGTGTCCTTGAAATAATAATTGCTACCACCATCCAAATCTCTACCCATTGTTAAACAACTATGTAACTGCTCAAATATGGCTTTTTCAGGCTCACACAAATAATGTTTTTTGGAACCAAGTTCTGAACCTGAGTCTTACTCTAAAGCCCAGTCTTTTCTACTGTGTCATGCTGTCTTCCCTCATTTCTGTCCTAAAGCAATAACTGTCTTACTGGAGTGTAGTAGACCATCCTGCATGGCATGGGCCCAGCCCCCAGTAGCAAACATTTACTGCAGAGTAACTTCCTAAAACCCATGCTAAACCTTCCAAGGATGAGTGTAACTGGTTCAACTACTTTTGCCTTTTCATTTGCAAATATCCCTCTTCTGCGATGTGATTAGCAGCATTGGCTCATTTGTTTTCTGTAAAAGGTAACCACCTAAAGTGAATCTGTGCATGGTAAATGAGGACCATCATGTAATGGGCGGAGAAACCCAATAAAGGCCTGTCATGGCAGAGGCCATGGCTTTTGCTCCCCTTGAGAGAAAAGCCATGCTCGCCCTTTTCCTCCCCCAGACTCGGTAGTCCGTGTGAATGTCTCATTTCATCCAGAATGACTCGGATATTGCGGGCCGGTGTCTGCATCATTGGAGAAGAGTCTTCTACTTGGAAACACGCACAGGTCACTCATTTACGTACCCTTTTGTTAGGCTGCAAGGGGTCAAGGTAGAAGATACCAGACAAGTGTAAAACTAAAAGAAAGCCAAACTGATTAGCAGCTATCCAAAGAGAATTAAAGGACACATGGTAACTTTATCCCAACTTTTAATTTTGGAAAATGTTAACCCTACAACACAGCTGTATGAGTGGTATAGTAATTACCCATTCTTTTTTCTAAGTCCTCAAGTTGTTCACATGGTACCACATTTGTCTGTTCTCTCTAAACACACACACACACTCATGCTCACACTCACACATTCACACACTTCTCCTCCAATCATTTGAGAGTAAATGGCAGATAACGTATTTCAGCAATTCTCTCCTAAGGACCTGGCCATTCTCCTACACAGCTACAATGCCATTACCAAAAATGAGGAATTATCACTGATACAATAACATTATCTTAATCTACAGTCTATCTTCAAATTTCCTCAAAGTTCGAAAAATATCCTTTATAACTTGTTGGTTTTGTGGTTTTATTCTTACACATAATACAGGCAGCAGGTAGAAGGTGGAACCCAGTTCCCAGAGAACTGTACACCCGACCATCCCGGAGGCTCCTGTGCTCAGGACAGGGCTGCCTAAGGAAAACAGATGCACTGTTCCTTTCTGCTTTTGTGTCTGTTTGCTTTTGCTTTTGTTCCGCTTCTAAACCTGGTGGATGTGGACAGCCTATACTGAACTCTTCTGTGCTGAACCTCTCACTCTTGTTTCTTAATTCTGAAAAAATTGGAACATATCTAACAAATTGGGAAAAAACAGAAGAAACACTCATATACCATCAACCTAGATTCACCAGTTATTAACATCCTGCCACATTTGCATATTTGTC